CTCACTCATGAGATGAGTTGCACGGTCTCAGCTGCAGGCAGCCCCCCCAGCTCTGGGTCGGGATGTGGATTAGGGCCCTAAGAGGACCCCATGGACTGGAGGAATTCCCCATGGCAAGTGCTAAAAGGGACAGGGTGGCACTTGGTGGGGGTGACAGACAGGGAGGGGCAGCCCCTCGCTCACCTCCGAGGTGGTGGCAGACACGAAGTGCAGGCAGGAGCTGGTGGAGGTGATCTCAAAGCCCTAAGGGGGGACAGGAAAGGGGTTTGAGCAGGGATCTGGGGGGGTCCAGAGGCAGTGGGGGGCACTGGGGTGATGGGGACTCACCAGTGGGGTGGTGATGAGTGTCAGGGGGTCAGAGGGTGGCACTGAGGTGTCAGGGGACACTGGGGGGCTCCCCCATGGGCTGAGGGGCAGCGTTGGCGAGTCAGGGGATGTTGGTGGGCTCTGCCACAGGCCTGGGGGCAGCGATGGGGTGCTGGGGGACCTCGGGGGGCTGCCCCTTGGGCCGGGGGGCAGCGCCAGCCCCACCTGCTGCAGCACAGCCCTGCGGTCCAGCAGCGCCGGGGGGCTGCAGCCCACGATGCTCTCGCAGATGCCCACGATGTGCTGGCACTGTGGGTGACAGCAGGGGGCTCAGATGGGCCCTGGCAGCGCCCCCCCGTGTCTGCCACCCCCTCCTCACCCACAGAACTTACGATCCGCAGGATCTGCCTGTCCCTCTCAGCCACGGGACAATCCTGGGGGAACAAGATGTGGGGATGAGCGGGAAGGGATGGCTCCATCCCAGCTGGGGGGACCCCGTGGGGAACCCCCCTTGCACCACATCCCCTCTCACCCCACCTCCAGCCCGGCAGAGCTCTGGGGGGACAGGAGAGCTGCCAGCTGGCTCCCCAACCCCGACACTGTGCCCGTCACCCACCGCCTGCAGTGTCTCTCCCAGCTGGGCACACAGCAGGACGATGTCCTGGCTGGCTGAGAAGTCATTGAGGGTGGAGAAGAGGTACCTGGAGGGGGACACAGAGCTCAGCCCCTGGTGTGGGGGTCACCCAGCACCCAGGGGGGCCCTCACCTGCCCCAGACCTGTTGAGCCAGGAGAAGAGTCCCTTGGCAGCCCCGACCAGGTCGATGACTCGGGCCAGGAGGGTGAGGGAGGGCAGCTGGGGGGCATCCCCTGCCGACAGCCCCCCCAGCACCAGGCTCTGGATGCCCTGTGCCAGCTCCTGCAGCCTCTCTGTCAGGGTCCGCAGGCTGGTGCTCGCCAGCCCTGCATCCTGGGGGGGACACGGATGCCAGAGGTTGGGGGGGGCAGTGGGGGTCTCAGGGGTGCCTCCACATTCCCACCTTCACCCAGCCCTGATTCCCAGCTCCAACCAGCACAGAGTGCCCCCACATCCCTCCACCACCGAGTTCAAGGTGCCCCAGTGTCCCCACCTTCACGCAGCCCAGGGTGACCCCACATTCTCCCTCTTCATTCCACAGTGCCCCCATGTCCTCCCTTCCCCCCAGCCCAGAGTGACCCCACATCCTCCTTCTCCAGCCCAGGATGCCCCCATGTCCTCTCCTCTACCCAGCCCAGGGTCCCCCACATCTCCTCTCCAATGAGTCCAGGGTGTCCCCACCTTCACCCAGTGCAAGGTGACCCCATGGCCTCCCTTCCACCCAGCCCAGGGTGCCCCCAAATCCCCCCTTCCTCCCTGGTTTCCCCACAGCCCCAGGGGGTCCCTGCACTCACCAGCTCACGGAGCTGCTCCACGGCCTCCAGCAGCAGCTCCTGGTGCCCCAGGGGCCACACACCCAGTGCCTCCAGGACCTCCACATCCAGCCCCAGCAGGTCAGGCCCTGCCAGCTCCCAGGCCTCGAAGGGGTACCCCTGCACCGCTGCATCCAGCCCTGCCACAGACCAGCACCCCCCCGCCGGCTGGGTGACCCCAGGGCGTGACACCTGGCTGATGGCACGGCCTTCTTCATGCAATGAGTTCACCCAGTCCCAGCCTAAACGGTGGGCACGGCCAGACCCCCACCCCATGCACAGCAAGATCCAGGGGAAATGTCCCCTCTCAAGGAGAAGAGATGAGGGACCAGAAGCGCTGCCACCCCCCCAGCCACACCAACCCACCCACATGTCACCAATCTGGGGACACCCCACCCCAGAGCCAGCAGTGGGGTGTCCCCTGGGTTGGGAGGGGCAGGCAGGGGAGGTGGGTCTCACCTCGGAGCCAGGCGGTCACCTCTGCGGGGCCCCAGGAGCCCACTGGCTCCATGGCGGCGGGGCCGGAACGGGCGGCGGGAGCCGGGAGCGGGAGCTGGGAGCGGCTCCCACCTGTGCCGGGAGCGGGAGCCCCATTGGAGCGTCCGGGTGCCGCTCACCTGCCCAGCGCCATCCCACGGGGCGAGGCCCCACGGCGCGCCCCAGGTGAGTCACGGCGGGACGGGGACGGTGACACACGGCCGCTGGAACACCCCCCTGGAAAATGGGGCTGCTGGAACCCTCCTGGAAATGGCACACGGTGTGTTTTACCCCCCCAAAACCTCTGCGTGCAGTGAAGGCTGAGGCCCAGCAGCACTCGTGACACTAGTCACCCCAGCTGCCCTGTTCAGCCCCCTCCCCACCGGTGTCCCCGCTGGTCCCTGGCCGGGTGACCCCAGGGGGTGACACCTGGCTCGTGGGAGAGCCCTCTCCATGCAACGAGTTTGCCTGGTCTCAGCCTAAATGGTGGTGATGACCAGACCCCCACACCACCCTCAATGGGATCCAAGGAATGGCGCCCTCCCAGCGAGAAGAGATGAGGGATGGGAAGTTTTTGGGGCGTCACCCCCCGCCCAAGGCACATTCACACCCCTCCCTTTGCAAGGGAGGGGGATTGAGGCAAGGGGCAGCCCCCATACAGGCCTGCAGAGCCCCATGGCTGAGCCCGGCTCTTCAGCCCCCCCAGACGTGTCCTGGGCTGGCTCCGGCCCCCCCGCCAGCGCCTGGGCTCCCAAACCCCCCCGCCCTGCGTGTGCGCTCGGGGGAGCAGCGGGCGCTGATCGCGGCTGACAGCGGCTCTGTGCTCGCCCGGTGCCGCCCTTCCCGAGGGGGCCGGCGGGCGGGACACAGGCACGGACCCCTCGCCGTGCTCAGGGCAGGGGTCCCCGTGTCGGGGGGTCCCAGCCCCGCCGCCGCCGCCCCACGGGGCCTGATCCTGCTGCTCCCCACCGCGCCATGATCATCCGCCCCAAGCGCCTGACCCCGGGGTACTTCCGTCTGCTCCAGGTAAGGGGGCCAGCAGGGTTGGGGGCAGCCCATGGGGACCCCTGGGATGGTGCCCCTGTCGCCCACCAGGCCTGCTGGCCACGGGAGCCATTCCCGGCTCCATCCCAGCTCCGCATTAGCAGCGAGGGTGCTGCCAGTGGAGTCCCTCAAGTGCCGCTCAGAGCACCCCAAAAGCCACCCTGGACACCCCAGGGGGGGACAAAGCTGCCCCCTTCCCCTGTACACCACCAGGCGCGATGGAGACATTCAGGGCATGGGCCCAAGCCCCCTGTTCCCGCGGGGTTTGGGATTTGGGGTGCCCCAGCGCTCCCCTCTCCTCTCCTCTCCTCTGTCCCCCCACAGATGCAGCTGGCGGCAGGACGGGGGGCCGAGCCGGGGGGGCGGCTGCTGACCCCCCTGGCCCTGCTGCTGGCGGCTGCCGGGCTCTGCCTGTCCCTCTACAGCGCCCGCAGAATGGCTGACCCCGCCAAGGCCCCCCCGGCGCCGTGAGGAGGGGGCTGGCGGGGCCGTGGGGACAGTCCCCAGGGGGGTGTCGGGGTCCCCCTCCACCCGCCATCCCCTGTCTGAGAGGAGCTGCGGCGACTTTCCGGCTGACCTGCGCCACATCCAGCCCTTCCCGCCACGCCTGGGCACGCGATGGTGCCCTGGGGAGGGGGGACACGTGCCTGTCCCTGTCTGTCCCCGCTTTTGGAGCCGGGATGGAGACTGGAAAAGCCGCCTCCAGCTCCAGAGCTGCCGGATGAGCCCCTTCCCGAACCACTGCGAGACACCGGGATCCAGCCACGAGACCGGAGGCTGAACGGGCAGACAGACAGATGGAGCCGGGAGCTGCATCCATCTCCATCTCCCACCGAAGCAGAGGGGCCCGAGGGGCCCCTTGTACCCTGCTGGCAGCCACAGACCCCCTCTGTCCCCGTGGGAATGTGCCAGGAATGAGGCCAGCACCGAGCACCATTAGGTAACGGGGCAGGGGGGACGTGGGGCCACGGGGTCGGTGACGTGTCCCCTGGGCAGGCACATCCCGCTGGAATGGCGGCTGCAGCCTTCCCGACCCCCCCTCTCCCGACCCCACGAAGAGCTGCAGCTCTCCATCCCCCCCAGGGTCGGGAGGGGGGGGACAAATCCGAGCAGGCTGTGTGGAAATAAACCCTTCCCTACCCAGCACAGCTGCGTTGTCGCTCTGCCTTCCTGCTGCTCCAGCCCCGAGCCCCATGCCCAGCTCATTCCCAGGCCCCAGCACGGCAGGAGGGATGAACTGGGGTCAGTCGCTCTGCAGGAATTCGAGGCGGCAGCAGCGGGTGGTGGCACTGTCACACAGTGTCCCCTCAGGGTCACCAACAGCATCAGTCTGGCAGACACGAGGCAGGGAGGGTGGCAGGGAGGGTGATCGTGCAGCCCCAGCCCTCCAGGACCATGAAATCACCAGCTGGTTTTTGGGGACAGGAGCCTCAAAGTGTCCCTGCCAAGGGGACACCAGCACTCCCCTCTCAAGGCCCAAACCAGCTGCTCGTTGATGCTTGAGGAGGTCACTCAAGCACATACTACCCCAAAAAAAGCTGCCTGGGAAACCCCTGCCAGGAGGGCAGAGGGAGTTTCAGCACTCTGCCCGGGCAGGAGCACTGGGATGAGGCTGTTCTGGGCTGGCATGGACTCCTCTGGGTGATGGGGGAGAGCACAACACCGAGAGGTGCCCCCACACCCCTCGGGGGGACTGTCCCCCTCATATCCACAGAGCTCTCAATGCTTCCAGGCTCTTAGTTGACATATTTTAATGGCTGAACCTCTGGAATAACCTCTGACCAAAGGACAGACACCCAAAATCTCTCCAAAAGCAATGAGAGGAGTGTAGTCCTGCCAGGACAAGCTGCTTGTCCCTTCTTGGAGAAGGAGGACACATGGTGAGGGCACCCAGGGTCTCCTTGGCTCCTTCTCCTCATTAGTCCCGGGGCTGCAGGAGGAGCAGGGTGGTTTTTCCTGGCAGGCTGTGCTGGGACGTGTTTTTCTCACAAAGCTGAGGACAAAGACGCCTTTACAGAGCCGCCAGATCTCAGTCCCTCGTCCCCTGGGCTCAGCTGGACGTCTCCATCTCGGTGGCCTCCTCCAGGGGCTGGGTCTGCACCTCCACCTTCTTTGGGGGGATGTAGGATCCCATCCCCGCGGCACGCTCGGCCTCCTCCTGCGTGTACGGAGTCTCCCGCAGCTGCTTCAGCCTGGGGGAGGCACAGGGGGGTGTGAAGGCTCCCACCCCGCTCCTCAGGGAGCTCCAGAACTGACACCACCACCCTGAGAGACTGTGGGGCTGGGCCCCTCCTCACCTCTTCTTGTGCACCTTGGACCTGAAGTGCTCCTTCATGCTGTTGAGGTCCACGAAGTAGCGCCTGGGGGGGATCAGAGGATGGGGGTCAGAGAGGACCCCGATATGGGAGCAAGGCTGGGGAGAGCCCTACTGAAGGGCCAGGGTCCCCCCACAAGCCTGGGGTCAGTCCCCCACGGGCTGGGATTCACCCTGAGACTGGGACAAGCTTTCCCAAGCCAAGAACCCCCCGGGGGCAGGACACCGCCCACCCCAGAAGCCATATGGATCCCCCAGGACCAGGGCAACCCCATCCCAGGGGCCAAAACCCCCCTCCCAGACCAGAACACGCTCTCCCTCTCCAGGAGCATCCCAAGAACCCCTCCAGAACCAGAGCAACCCCATTCCAGGGGCCAAAACCCCCCTCCCGGACCAGAACACGCCCTCCCTCTCCAGGAGCATCCCAAGAACCCCTCCAGAACCAGAGCAACCCCATTCCAGGGGTCTGGGACTCCCCCGGACCCCAGGAGCCATGAAGTCCCCAGAACCAGGGCAACCCCCTCGCAGGGGAGTGGGACCCCCAAGACCAGGACACCCACCCATCCCAGGGTTCGAGCCCCCCGTGCCCCCCCCGCACGCACGCGCAGTGCAGGCAGTAGAACTGGGCGCAGCCCGGCAGGTCGGGGTCGACCTCCTGGCGCAGCAGCCGCGCCGCGTTCTCGGGCTTCATGTCCGCGTGGATCTCGTCCAGGTCGCGGCGGCGCCGCTTCGTCTTGAGCTGCCGGGCGAGCGAGTGCGCCCGGTGGGCGCCGGTGCGGCGGCCGTTCCGCGGGGACATGGCGGCGACCACGCCGGGCCGGGCCGGCACTGCGCAGGCGCCGGAGGCTGCGGGCCCCGCCCACCCGGCTCTACGCCCCGCCCACAAACCGATAAGCACCGCTCACCAAGCGACAGACCACGCCCATGAAGCGACAGGCACCGCCCCGAGCAGATAACCCCGCCCCGAGTAATAAGCTCCGCCTACGAAGTGCAGATCCCGCCTCCAGGCAGGAACGCTCCGCCCACTAAGCGAGAGGCTCCTCCCACAAGGCTTGACTCGGTCTATAGACCGCGCCCACTATGTGATAAGCCACGCCTATCAGCAGCAGGCCACGCCCTCGGCCACGCCTTCCCCGGCTCAGCCTTGGCCTGAAGCCCCCCGGGCCCGGTGACGGTCCCCGGGCATAGCCGTGTCCTCCAACTCCCCCAGCCCCCGGTGGCCCCTCCCCGGGCTGTCCCCGTGTCCCCCCGCGGGCCCCGCGCTGCCCCGGTCACCGCTGTGATGAGCCGGGCAGGGCTCAGCGCGCCGCGTTCCCGGCGCTGATCGTGTTTCCTCCGTGATCAATTATAAATAGGGACACGCGGCGGGGGGAGCGCGGAGCCCCGGCGTCTGCTCTGCGCCGTGGGAGGGGGATGTCCCCGCCCTGGGGGTCTCCTGTGGGCGAGGGGCACTGGGGGGGCTGGGGCGCGGGGGTGGAGGGGAGGGTTTGGGGGTGACCGGAGCAGGCGCCCCCGCGCTGCCCCCGGCTCAGCGCGGGCTCAGATTCCTTTTGTGCATTGGAAGTGGCCACTGAAACTTTAATGAAGCCACCGGATCGCCACTCGGTTCCCCCCCGCCGCCCCGCCACCCGCGACTCCGCCGGCTCCGGCCCCGCCGAGCCCCTCACCATGGCCCAGGGCTTCTGGCGGCTCTACAAGGCCAAAGTGCTGCAGACCCTCGGGGGGCCCCGGGCGGACGGGGCGCTGCAGGACGAGGTGGGGTGGGAGGGTCCCCACCGAGCCCGGGACCCCCCGAAGTGGGGTGACCGACCCCCCTGCCCTCCCCCTGCCCGCACCCCTGTGCTCACCCGGGGGCTTCGTTGCAGGGGGACCCCCCCGAGCTGATGGAGACGGCCGAGACCCCCGCGCTGATGGAGGAGGGGCCCAGCCCCGTGTCCCAGCTGGCGAGGAAGGTGAGGAGGGGGCTGGCGGAAGGGGGGGGGGGTTGCTGGGACCTGGGGGTCTCCAGTGAGCCCAGTGCTGCCTCCCCCGCAGGTGCAGGGGGTGGGTGCCCGGAGCTGGCGGACGCTCTCGTCCCTCTTCACCCGCGAGGACGAGCACCAGCTGCTCAGCCCAGAGCCCTGCGCAGACCAGTGAGTTGGAAATTGTTTGAGGGGGACCCCAGAACCCAGATCCAGCCCCTGGCAACTGCCCAGCCCCTTCATTCCCCCATCCCATCACCTGCATCCCCCTTCCCTGCCCTATACCCTGGGGGAGAGCCGGCATGGAGGCTTGGGGGTCACAGTTCTGGCCCTTGTGGGACCTGATGAGAAGGGTCCCCACACCGATGTCCCTGTCCTCACTCTCTCCCCAGCCCACTGGCTGCTGAGCCACCCGAGCTGCCCCAGTCTGAGAAGGCACCCGGATTTTGGGATCTCTTTGCTACCAAGTGGCAGCAGGCGGCAGGGCCAGACAAGGGGGTGCCCCCCCCGGAGCCAGATGAGAGCCCCGGGGAGCCCCCGGGCGAGGACGGCAGCGACCTGCGGGAGCCGGAGGAAGGGGCCTTCCACTGGGGCTTCCTGGCCGGCAAACTGGCTGAAATCCGGAATAAAAATGCCCCCAAGGGCAACTAGAGGAGGATGCACCAGCCAGACTCTCCAGCAGTATTTGTGGCCCCCCCACTGCTACTGGGCAGCCCCCTGCCTGCACCCGAGGGCTCTGCAGTGGGTTTGGGTGTCGTGTCTGCACTAAAGACCCTGAGGTGCCCTTTTTCCCAAGCTCTCTCAAGTGCTTTCCTTGCCCTCATCCCTTCCACAGCAGCCCCATTGCCCCTGGAGCAGCACAACCCCCACGATGGGCAGGGGGAACTGCCCCTCTCCCCCCACCCCAGAGCATCTACCCACACAAACCACACACACTTGCCAGGCTAGAAAAAAAACCCCAAACAGCTTTATTGACCGCTGTTCTGGCCCCACCAGCCCCTCTTCTGGGAAGGAGGGGGTGTGGTGTGTGCACTGCCTGCGATGAGGGGCTTGGGCTCTGCCCACACCCCCAGTCTGCAGCTGGAGCAGGGTGTGGGTGGTCGGTGGGGGCTGTAGGACCATCCCACCACCCTGGGCTGGGGGGACAAGGAGGATGGAGAAGGTGGGGGACAGCAGGAGGACGGCAGCCCTCCAGCCCTGAGGCCACGGAGAGACTCACCCAGGGGAGCCCCTTCCCCACCTGCCCCTCAGGTGCCCCCACCACGCTCAGCCTGGGGTCTGGGGTAGTCCTGGTGGCCTTCCCAGCCTGCAGCATTCCCAGCACACCAGGACCATGGATGCCACATCCAGCAAGGGCGAGGGGATACGTGCAGCCAGCAGGAGCCACAGTGGGGGTCCTTATCCCGGCCGGGCTGTCTCTGCTCAGACCGTGGACTCCTTGGCGGCCGCCCAGGCCCTCTGGCAGCCGTAGAGCCACTTGATGACACGGGCGTTCCGCTCCACCACCGAGACGGCGGAGCCCAGCCGGGCATCCTCCGGCTCCTCCTCGCCCGGCCCCGCGCCCCCCTCGCTGCCCCCCGAGGCCTGCCCGGGCTCGGACTCGCAGGAGCCGAGGAGCCGAGCCGAGCCGCTGTCCCAGCCCGCCGGCCCGAACCGCTCCCGCCCCAGCAGCTCCACCAGCGCCCGGTCCAGCCCGCAGTAGTTGAAGAACCGCTCCTTCTCCGAGAGCGGCAGCGACACGCGCAGGGCCAGCGCCTGCTTCCCGGGGGGCTGCGGGGGCTCTGCCGGGGGGCTGCCGGGCACGGGGAAGGTGCCACTGCTGCCGCTGCTGCCGCTGCTGTTGGCACCCGGTGTCCTCGCGTCCTCCTTCTCCACAGGCGCCCACAGCATGGGGGTCTCGGGGCTCTGCGGGGGTGGTGGTCCCTCGCCCAGCCCCCTGGCTGGCGGGGAGCTGGGGGGCTTGTCCCTGAGGGGTCCCTGGAAGAGGCGTCGCACCAGCCCGGAGCCCTTGGCGTTCTCCTTGTCCCCGCCCAGGCAATCCCGTTTCTGCCGGTAGATGATGAGGGAGTCGGGTCTCAGCAGGCGCCTGCTGCCGCTGCGGCGCGACACGGGGGACGGGGGGCACGGCAGCTTCCTGGGCCCCTCCCGGCCCAGCTCCGAGCCCTGGCACAGCTCATTGCACTGCTGGCGGGCGAGGAGGCGCCGGCCGAGCGGGGACAGCCGGGGCGAGCCCCGCAGCGCCGGCTCCTGCCGCCGGCTGATGACCTGCTGGGACTTGACGTATTTGGCCTTGTCGGCCTCCAGCCGCTCCACGGCGCTGGGTCTCCGGCCCCCGCTGCCCCCCGGCTCCCCCGGGCACTCGGGACCCCGGTTCAGCCAGGCCAGGGGGGAGCCACGGCCGGGGGCCACGAGGCGCAGGTTGCTGGAGGCGCAGACGGCAAGAGTGGGGCTGCCCAAGGGCACCATTGCCCAGAAATGTCACTGCTGGTCGCTCTGTTTGCCCCCCGAGTGGTTGTGGGAGCTTCGGTGCTGCAGCTGGGGAGGCTCTGGAAACTTCGCTTGGCTCCTGGATTTCACCCTGGGAGGAGAGAGGAGAGTCAGGGTTAGCCTCGAGGCTGCAGCAGTGAGGAGGAGGATGGGGGTGAGGCAGAGCCGGGGGTCCCCTCAATCCCAGGCAGGCAGCGAGTCCTGCCAGCCCAGGCAGGACCAGCCCACGGGCAGGAAGAGAGAAGCGCCGAACATCCGCCGGCTTCACTCGCATCCCAGGAGCGGCTTCCAACAGGAAAAAATACCGGAGCCGGCCACTGCCTCGCCTTTCCGAGAGCAGGGGCGGCAGAACAAAGCCCTGCTCAGGAGAGCTGGTGAGCTGCCCCACGTGTGGGGGCAGCAGGGCAGGGGCTGGGGGAGTTTTTGGGGTCCCTGAGCTGTGCTCCCCTGGCAGGGAAGGTTTCCCCTGCTTGGTGAGTGGGGGGCTCGGAGCCAGGGGGGTTTTCTTAGCCCTGGGGTGCTCCAGGCCTTGCTCAGCTGCACCCGAGCACCCATGTGGGCATCCAGAGGTGGAGGTGGGTGCTGGGGGAAGGAGTCCAGAGGAGCCTGAGGCTGTAAATGCCCAAAGCAGAGGGTTTCAATGAGCACAAAAGGCCTGAATGGCCCTGAAGAGCCATCACCAGCTGACCCAGGGCCTTCCCAGGTGAGAGCAGGGCCACGGGGCTGGGCAGAGCAGAGTTCACAGCAGCAAAGGGCCCAGGAACCCCCTGCCACGCTCCTCCACACACAGCCCATGGGTTCCACGCCGCATCCACCCCACTGTACAGGTGGGGAAACTGAGGCATGTGGTGTGTCTGGCCCTGTGCTCCCGAGGGATGAGCTCCCCAGGCTTCCCCAGCAGCTGTGGGAAGGTGTCCCCAGCAGAGGGTCCTGTCACCCCCCAGCAGAGCCAGTGTGCCCAGGCTGTGACTGCCTGTGCCAGTGTTCCCACATAGTCCCCAGCCCAGCCCCGTGGCCAGGACCTGTGCCAGCCATTGGGATCGGCAGGTGGGGGATGCTCTTGCTCACCTGAGCCCACCCAGGGATGCAGGGATGGGATGCAGGGATGGGATGCAGGGATGGGATGCAGGGATGGGATGCTCTGGTCTCACTCGACTCCTGCCCCTCTGGCTCCCGCAGCAAACTGAGCCCACACCCGGCAGGAGCCTCGTATAGGGATGAGGAAGAGGAAGAGCCACCCTATTAACCCCTGCCAGCCCAACCCCTGTCGGAAGGAGCCCACCCTGAGCCCACCCTGCCAACGCGACCCCCCTCCACAGCCCTGCCCCTGCCCAGCACTAACCCTCCTCTTCCTGCACCTCCAGCT